TTGTGAAAAACTGTGATGTGAATTAACAGGTTCAGTCATCTCATAATTCCTCCTGTGGGTGATTGCCCCTTTATGGTTTTGAAATAACTATCAGGAAAACAGGTAGTTAGATTGTAGCAAATACTCAAAAAAAGTGCTAGATGGTCGACTCAAAAGCCATTAAGGCTAGTGAATACTGTTACGTGGATTCTGCACAATCAATGTTAGAAAAAATGGTATGGCAGTATTGTTCTACCAATATGACCATTATACCATTATAAATAAGCGATCTTTATTCTTCCCTTTATTCTGGTTCCTGAAAGAAAGTTACTGTAGTATCCATTGGTGATGGATATAGATTCCTCATGTCCTTTCTTTAGCAAGAAGAAACAAAATAAAACTGCATAAGAAGAGTAAAAGGAATTTACAGTATTTCTAGAATTTTGAGAGAATTATGAGAAATTAACAGTGTAAACACAATCTATTCTTTTCTTGCTGTTCTTGCTGGCAACTTGCAATTATCTTACTTGGAACCTGAGAATGTTTTAGATAAATCAAAACTATATTTTTTTTTCAGTGCGCACCAGATGAACATCATGCTTGCCAAGCACTTTAATATGTAAGACTTTAATAAGGAGACTCGGAGACCGCTTCAGAGAACACGTCAGGGCTGTGAAGATTAAAGATCTCTCCAAGCCCATTCTCATTTCACCTCTGACGGCCACGACCACTCTAATCTCTCCGTCTGTGTTCTCAAAGACGGTTTTCCGAACTCATACATCAGAAAGACCACCGAAACTAAAATTATTCTGCAGTTAGGATCACACATTCTCCCTTCCCTTAACGACAGATTACTGTTCTTTTAAATTTTCTCCATTCATTGGAAGTTTCATTTCACACCTCTCTGCACCCATTATGACTTCACACCTCTTGATTGGCCTCTCTTTCTGTCCCCTGCTCCCGCCTCTCACTCCTCCTCCCTCCCAACCTTTGTTCTCCCGCTACTTTACCTGAACAGTACGAAGAGGTAGAAGGCGTAGCGCAACTAAGTAGCTCAAAAGGAAAACCAATACTGAGCGAGGAGGTAGGGAAAGACTAATGCTTAAATACCAGATGAGACGGAGGTATGGTGGTGAAAGCGTACACTAATAGGTGGACTAATGAACTAAGGCTACGCCTTCTTCTGCCTCTTTCGTTGCCGGGGGGCAGGAATCGTAACAGTTACCTGCAGCCTGAGTTTTCAAGTCTGTCTTTAATAACAGACAAATGTGCTGCGCAGCAGGTCTTTTTGGTATCAAATTTGTCTTTAATCAACTGGGGATGATACTCAAATATTGAAAATAGAGTTAGGGCCCTTGTTTGACTCCTGTCCAGACTTCAAAGTGCTCAGTAACTGATCTATTAGTAAAGATTACTGCATGCATATCATCATGAATTAGTGAAGGATGCTGACAAATATCGGAGGATATCCATACTGTACTACAGGAGGTCATTTTTTCTTGTGCTTTTGTATATTTTTTGCTACATACTTGTTTATACATAAAATACACACTGTATATAAATAGTTCCCTGGGTGCATTACATAGATGTGATGAAGGCTTGGACAATGCTATAACTTAGAATCAAGATGCAAAATGTGTAAAAGAATCTGTTTGAAAACATTATCTGAAGGTACTGTATAGCCTATACAAAGAGCTGTTCTATGGGCTCTGCAGTGAAGCCTAATTAAGTAAACAGAAACAGATGGTGTGCTGCTTTTTGTAAGTAGTGTGCAGTGCATTTAACAACTTGCTCCAGAGTGACCCCTGATTAGACAAATAGGTGATGTTTGAGAAAAGTTCATTTTATCCATCTGCACTTGTTTACAGCAGAGGAGTTTGTTTATAACAAAACTACTTGTGTGAAGGATCATAAAAGTCACTCACAGCAGAGATCACATGGGTTTGTTTTTTCAATAGCTCAAAATTCCATTTTTCTTTTCTACTGTCTGCTTCCTGACATTTTCAAAATGTATGTTTAGAGATCCATGGCTGATTTGATTCACAGCTGAAATAATGAGTTTGACCTCAATCAAAGCAGAAATGACTAATGTATATTCTACCTGTTTTTGTAATCACACATGCATAATGAGTTAGATTGCTTCTGATTAAGATGATAGTGTTTTTATCATTCTTTTTATTAAAAAAGGCCTGAGATGACTCAAAAAATCCAGAGCAAAAAGTTTATTTTTCCTGAAGTGGAACATTTTTGGAACAATAGCAGTTTTTTTATTTTTCTATCAACACAGATAACATGTAACCAAAATAAAAAAGAACTTTTTTTATATAATTCTTTTTATAATAACTACATACATAATCCATTTTCAAAATGTTTTGTACTTATAGAGAGATTTGTACCTTTATTTGTGCCTTGAAAGCAGGGAGGAATACTACAGGTAGCCCCAGCACTGGGATGCATTAATTTTGTCATGTGGAACAACCCTAGGCCTCTGTTTGCCCACAGAAATATGCTGCTGGGTTGTACAGAGGATACACAGGAATGATTTATCTGGACTTTCAAAACCTTGAGTACATGTCTTTTGTAGGATGTAAGCTGAACGTCATAATAAATGTCTGTGTTGCTTTATTTCAAATTTCTTTAATACACAAGAATAGAGCTCAGTGATGCTTAAAATGTGATGCTAAAGAGGACTAAAACAACTACCGCACAAATATTTTGATTATCTATATTTTGCACGTGACACAGCAGCACCGGCTCTTCCAGATTTGAAACATCACACCTTGCCAAGGAGGCTCACACTCTTGTCATTGCTAATTTCCTACCACACATCTGTGACAAACTGAGACCTCATGGGTTCTCCAGAATCTGTTCCTTTCCAAATCACTAAAAATATAACCCATCTATTTTATGCCACACATGGCCCTCCTGCACAGTTTCTGGTCTGGGTTTCCTGTGAAGCAAAACCAATAAAGACAAGAAATTGAAATGAATTATTTTTAAATCGCTCTCTTGTTTCTTGATTTGCACAGTCTTCTATGCCACCCCCCAGCTCTCAGGTACAAAGCAGAAGTTTTAATTTTGGACTGAATAAAGTGGCTGAAATTTGTAATGGGTGCTATTAAGTCAAAGTCTCATTTGCACCTGTTATCCCATTTAACACCTAAAATCCACTTCACAACCATGATGCATGTTTGGAAACTATCTTTAAAAAGCTAAATGTGTTAGACCTTGAAATGTGAAAAAAAACTGCAGTTATTTCACTGACAATAGAAGGAACATAATGAAGACTAAGCTTTTCCAGTTCTAAGGTGAGCTACAGATACAGTGTATTACTGTATATCCTGTTGGAACTAAAACACTGTCCACTTTTACGTATGTAAAGCCAGTCAAATCTGCAGGAAGGGTCAATCAGGGCTGTTTCATAGGAATTACTAAATCACTGCAAACCAGATCCAATGAAAATCAATCAATCAATTATTTATTGTCTAGTTGTTATTTTTCTTATTTATAAATTATTTTTCTATTTGTCTTCTCAATGTGACCCCTGCATTGTCGCACTGTGTTCTGTTTGTGAAAAAGACGGTCAATACCTGAACACAGTACTATCTGTTGGCAGAAGCTGAATTGAAAGAACATAGAGACATATTTGGATCCTTTCACCTTGATGATATCACTTGACTTTTGCTTTTTTATTGATATGTGTGAATATAATCAGGAAATTAGCAGCTGTCAGTGGGGACTTCTGTTGCAAATTCCCAAATGTATTTGCTGATTGGATTTGGTTAAAGAAATCCTTTATTTTGAAGCAGGAGACTTAATCTGTGCAGCTACATCAGATTGTTTAAACATAATAATGATAGGGATCTATCGGGGAGAGGCAGGTAAGATACTGCCAGTGGAGAGGTCTCTCTCATTTGCAGATATTACAGTTAACATGCTAATACAGTAATACACCTGGGCTCCAGGGAAAAAGAATTTTAAATACTACAATTACAAAATTTATTTTACTTTATACTTTTCTGCATGGAGGGGAGTTGCTTTATCATGCTAATGATCACAAAGAATATTCTTGATAAACAGCTAATTCCTTAAATGCCTGCCTGACAAAAGAGCAATAGACTGTTCCTGATACGACAGGCATTGGGTACAAACTGAAAGGTATTCATATAATGAAATCTGCGATTATGGAGTCAATGGAGAGTGTGTGGAGTTCATGAAGGCACAATAGCACATGTGGCCATTGTAGATGGTAATGATATAAAGTGATTTTTTTTTTTGCTTTAACATTTAAAATTCTACAGCCCTTGAAGTCACATGTGACACAGTCAAGTTATTTAGTGGATGTTTTTTTCAATATGTATTACATTAGATAAAAATGAAATTGTTGAAAAAAAAACTTCAGGTTCTGATGCTGATGTGAATTCTGGTCTGTTGAGATTTTTATAACGCATCTTTTAAGGGTTTCTCTTATGTAAAATATCTTTTAGCAATACTCTTAGGTCATACACAGATCCTGAAAATGAGTTAACAAAAAAACATTTTGTTCTTTTGTATGTACCAGCAGTTAATAACTTAACACCATTTTAAAAGTTTGAAAAGAGGCGCCTCAGTAGAAATTTGTGACACTTTATATTTGAATGTTTGCTTGACATGATAAAGACAAGTCAGTTTAACAAAAGAGTGATTTGGGTCAATTCAGATTGTGCTGTTTGTTTTTGTTCACTGACACAGATGTACACCCACTGTGCAGTATCTAGGCAGGATGATTTTTCAGTAATATGACTTTCCTCAAAGTGATAAATTGCTGTGGCACAACTGTAACATTATTTCATAAACAATAGTTTTTTATTTTAGCAATGAAAGACCTGTGTGCCTGGTGCTTTGTTTATACTACAAATATTACTAATAACAGCAACTGAACAAATGTTATAAATTTTTAGAATACTTTGGCTATTAAATGGTTTAAATGTGATCTTAATTCTTCTAAACTCAGAATTTATATTTTGTGCTTTTGTCGGCAGGGATCTGATGCCCTCGACGTTGGAAGGCCAGATTACTATGGAGAAAACGCCCAGCTACTTTGTGACCAATGATGCTCCAAAGCGCATTCATTCCATGGCAAGAGACACAAAGTTGATTGTGGTGGTGAGGAACCCTGTGACCAGAGCTATTTCTGATTACACACAGACTCTGTCTAAGAAACCAGAGATTCCCACTTTTGAGGTGCTGGCTTTTAAAAACAGGACACTTGGGCTGATTGATGCATCATGGAGCGCTCTTCGAATAGGGATTTATGCTCTCCACTTGGAAAGCTGGTTGCAGTACTTTCCACTCTCCCAGATGCATTTTGTCAGTGGGGAGAGGCTTATTGTTGATCCAGCTGGTGAAATGGGAAAAGTGCAGGACTTTCTTGGACTCAAAAGAATTGTGACAGATAAACATTTCTATTTCAATAAAACCAAGGGATTTCCCTGCTTAAAGAAGCCAGAAGACAGTAGTGCTCCCAGATGCCTTGGCAAGTCCAAAGGTAGAACTCATCCCAAAATAGATCCTGATGTAATTCACAGACTCCGAAAATTTTACAAACCCTTCAATATGATGTTTTACCAAATGACAGGCCAGAACTTCCAGTGGGAGCAGGAGGAAAACCGGTAACTTGCAAACAATTTCCCATCCCATAAAACTGTGGGATGAAATGGCTCACATTTTAAAAATGGGGAATCAAATCACACTACCATTAATTTAAAGGTGCAAATGAGCTCAGTGGCCACATGTATGAATTGATCATGGCTTTGTTTGTAAATTGTCTGTTATCCATATCCAAGATCATGTTTTTTTTATCCTTGTTTTAGTGGTGATGGTAATGATGGTGGCAATCATTATGAACATGCATAAATATATATAAGTAATATCAATATTATTATTTTTAAATGGAAGATGATTTTTTTATTGTTCTTAAATTCTGAGGATATATAGAAGTCTAAGCAAACTATCTGCAACAATTCAAGTAAAGTGTCCTTAATAAGTGTTTCCCATAATGTAATTTAAATTTCATTATAAACTGCTTACGCCTCACTCAGTGAGAACACAATGACAAGAACACATTTAAGCTACCCAATTTATCAAAGATTCTACGACTACTCGCAGTTATTTTTGGACAATGTTTTTTATGAAATAGCTCTAAGCAGCAGTGGATAAAATCAGTGAAAGTCACCAGCCAGTGAATGTTGGTGTATCTTTCAGTATTTTGCAGCATTGATTCATGTCTCTGAGATTCCTAGAACTGAGACAATCATTTTACCAGGCATTTATTAGCAGAATCCATAATACCAGCACTGTGCACCTCTTTCTCCTGGGAATATTTACTTGGCATGCAAGAGTGGTTCAATTCCGTACACCTGTGGACGTTTTTCCCCTAGAGAGGCAAATGGAACTTGGGAGTAATTGTATCAGTCAACTTTTGCAAAGCTTTGTCCTTGAGAGACCCATATACCAAAAACAAAATGTCTAGGTCAATTGTAATTTTTAGGCAACCCATGAAGCACCCACAGTTAACAAATAGAATTAAACAATTGCATTAGGACACCTCTTGCTACATTCTAGATATTTTCCTCATGTAGTTCAAAGAGCTCTTAAACAGCTAACTGGAGTCCTTTGCTGGCTGATGAGAGATAATGACAGACTAATTAAAGGCAGTTACGGTTCTTAGGAGTCCATTGTTATTAAGCCCTCAGATGCTCATTCAGAAAACATTATTTTAATTAATCAGGATTCTGGAGTTCAAGGCTTGTTTGCCCTAACTAATATTTACTTTGCCAAGTTAATTACTAAATACTTCTATGGTTACAGCGAAAAGCTTGGGTTCGGAAGAAGAAAGCCTGTACTAAGTCAGTAACTGAAGAAGAGGCAAAACACACCTGCCACATACAGTACAGAACGAACTCATTTAGGTGGAGAGGAATGCATTGTACAGTATTTGTCACTGCAGAAATGAAGGCTAGTGCATTGTGCATTGTAGATAACCAAACAAAAGCTTGACATTTTTGGATGCTATGGTTAGAAGTAAGAATCCTCATACAAACAACTGCCAGACTTTCTTTCATATAAAAGAAGCAATGTTTTGAAAGCTTACCAACTCAGATGGTTAATGAAAGGGCTAAATAAAGCAACTTAATGTTTCTGAAATTATTATTTCTACTATAGATTATTACAGCGTGTAACTCAGCAGCTGGAAAACTATGGTACGTTATTTGAAGACTGCAAATGATATGCCATGAATTCTATTAAATTAAATGTAGATATAGAGCAATGAAACTAGAAAGCATTGTGATTACAAAGTCTCATATTTCCAGTGGAATTGTTCTCTAACATTGGTCAAAAAGCATTTTCTTGATATCCACAGACACTGATGTACAATGATAATGCAGCTGTCTAGGTTTTAGATCATTATGTCCTTTGGCACATGATATGTACTGTATATCTTAATGAGATAAATAAGAGTGAGCTTAAATAATCTGATTTTATAAAATGTCCATATGCTTAGAGTTCAGCCTTTAAGTTAAAATTACTAAAATCACTTGATGAAGAATCTGAAATGTATAGTCATTTAGAAATACACAATCTTAATTAAATTACAGCAAAAGATAATGTACAACCATGCTTAGAATGAGAAGTGACAGTTGCCTATTTGCTTTTGGTATGATTGATGGTGGCCTGTTTGTGAGAGGTGTTGCCAAAGAATTCCAATTTACGATCAACAGTCAACACTGTACGCCAGAGAAACTCAATGTCCTGGAAGGTCACTGCATTTTCCCAGGACCACGGCATCCATATGATGCATATGCCTAATCATTTTCTGCAATGACTCAGCATTCCAGAAAAAAAATAACCTGCATATCAACAGAACAGCTTTAGCTTGCACTGTTAATGAAAATGATCCTTCAGGAGTGAAATTGGGGATGGTGTATTTTATTCACTAATGAAATCCATTTTGCACCAGTTAGACTTCAAAGAATGAAGATGGTTAAATTATGTTTATTTGGGGATAAATCTCTATTAACACAAATATGCCTTTGGCCCAGATTAATGGCTGCCTTACTGCTCAGCTATACACTGACAATGTCTTTGAGCCAAACCAGAAGTGTCAATTTTCCAGAAGGACAATGCAAGACCACACAATGCCAGAATTACAATGGGAAGACGTGAGGAAAACATTGTTAAAATGTTGCCATGGCCAGATGCCATGGCCTCTTCTCTCCATGGTCCAACAAAACATCTGTGACCCAACCCATACCACTGGCAGTAGATAACAGTGATGAACTAATCTTCATCAAATGGCTGCAACAGCAAACGAAGAGTGGTGGAACATCCCACAGTGATCTATCCAGAGGTTGATCATGACTGTGCTTTAATGCTGCCATGATTATGTTAGTGGTCAGTGAAGTTGTACCCAGTACTATGTAGTGCTTTAATTTTGACAGCATGTCTTGTTAAAAATGGAAAAATTATTTCATATAGTTTTGTTTATATATATTTTATTTTGTTTTAACATCTACATTGAAAATGTTTGATTAAATCCATTATACCTGGGTATTACATTGCTTTTGTGCATCAGTATTTTGTATTTTCTGTAGCCTTGGTGCTTCTGTGTTGATAATAATTATTCAAAAGAATGAGAAGTGAGGACAAAAGATCATTTTACAAGAACTGGGAGTGAAAAATAACTAACATTTATAAAAATATATATATATATTAAACACCATAATGTATATTAACATTAAAAAAGGATCTTCAACTCACATCTATCTCTAATTTTAACATTATGTCTCCTTATATAATCATTGAAGATGACAAGATAATTGTCTGTCATGTCTAGATTCATTATAATTCTGTCACTTGAATTTAAAAATTAAAGTTTCAATTATTCACATATATAGTAAGAGACATTAAAATGCAAAAAATGCTATTAGCTCTTGTATTCATTTGTGTTTTAATGTCTCTCACTTGTAAACTATGTAAACTGTTTTTCAACCAGGGTTTATTAATCTTATTTTAATGTCTTCTTATTAAGGATAGTGCATTGGAAGTGTTGAATCAGATTTCAATTTTGTAACTGAATTCACATTTTATTTCTTTAGTGCAGATAATGTGTTTATTTAAATCATACAACTTAGCTCATACTTGGTGCAGCACAGCCCTTTGGTTATCCAGGTTTATCAACCAGTATGAACTAAAGCTCATTTACCATAAATTACAGAAGGTTGACAGGAATACAAAGCAATGGCAGTTTGATTCTGTTAACTTTAATAATGGATGAAGAACAATATATCAATGTGTGCTTCTTGAGTTATCAATTTACTTTCTTACAACATGATTCCATCTGATGAGTGGCCTTAATGCAGAGTCCTTATAGAATCTCCTTCATTTGAAGGGCAGGGTCAGGCTTGGCAGACCAAAGCACCTGTGTTAAATTTAAACTTTTGAGGACTTCAGGCATCACTTTTCAGTAATTCACTTGGCTTAAAGTGTAAAACAGTATATGTGTTATCCTTCCATTAGCCTATTTTGCTTGCACATTTATTCATATTTATTACTAGAAATATATGGAAAGAATGTTTACACATCTCTGGCCAGATCTTTATGTCTGCATTTGCCTTTTCCCTTTGCACAATTGACAATCTTCCGATTTGTTGCTTGTGAATGTGAACGTGGGTGTGAAATACAGCCATATTGAGACAATGGTTTAATAAAGGTCTTTTGAGTTAGATGACATTAAGTGCCAAGTGCACATAGTTATTCAGGACTTCAGTTTGCATCATTTTTCTTAAGAGCAGTACATGAATAAAATTAAAACTAAAAAATTCAAATAAATGTGTTATTTTCCTTTAAAGCTGTCCACTCAAATTAACTGCATCTACATCAATCTAGAATATGTAATCTTTTCATTGGGTACTCTGTGAAATGTTGCAGAGACTGCACTTTGATGTAAAGACCTTGATAAACCAACATGGTGTCAAACGATTAACAAGCAATTTTCCTTGACTTCACTATCAATAAACCATACTGTTTTGCCATTACACGGTTATGATTATAACGATTATAACTACACTTCACAAGCATTACTTCTGAAAATACTAATGAGAAGTCAGTGATGTGATTTGATTAAAACAATTTTATTAATAGATTTTAGTATGATGATAATGAACCTAAAATAGCTTTGTTTTTGATACTTCCCAGAAACATGAAATCCTTAATTGGTGACTGGGTGAATCCTAAGTTCTGTACTCAATTTTTTTTCTCTCACCTATTCTGTCAATGTGCCACACTGAAATGGCTTCCTGGGGTCAGCCTGAATGTCATGCTGTTGGTCATGTCTCCTTGTCATGGGAGGCATTGCTCCCTTTCACAAATTTATTCAATGGTATTTTTTCGCCATGAGGTATTTAAAGAAGCAGGACCTATGTGTTGGTGTTCTGGACCGAACAGTGTGGGATGCATCTCTTCTGAAACAGAACTGCTTGACTGTCAATTTTCCTGGAATGCTCAAAGTTTTTTGCTATTTGCTATTATGTACCTTAAAAACAAAAAGAAATTGATATGAGTGTGGAATTCCGCTGATAAAATTTACAGCACTATTCAATAAAACATCTTTGCAGCAGAATCCTGTAGTGGTACTTTTATTTATTTTATTTTTGTTATTAAGTTTTAAAAGTGGAATAGAAATAATCAAAATTATATGAAGAGTTGGAGCTCACATACAAAATAATTGGGAAAAGGAGGGTAATAAAACAAGCTCTGAAGATGACAAAAGGTAACTGACAATACCCATCAGGTATATTTATAAGCAAAATATAATAGCTGTATTTCTTTCCATGAGATCAGGTTTTTGCAAATGAGTGATTTAATGCTAGTGAGGTTTTAAAATTCTCTTTTAAGAGTAGCCAGCTGTCTATCCACACTATGCTGGAAGACATGGCAGAATTGTATTTATTGTGGGTTTCTTTTTGCATAGATTAGAACAAAAAGTTTTAAAGATGCCCCCAGTAAAGCAGTTTAAACCACCTATGAATCATTTATCAATTTCATATGGAGAAACATGGTCACAAAGACCTACAGTACCTTCCCACAGTGGGTGATTGAGCCACTAATGGGCAACGATAGTTTAGTGGATCTCATTGTCTGAAGCCAGGAGCTCTGTGACTGTCTATCTTTTCACAAAACTTTTAATGTAACAGTTCATTTCACTCTTGGTTGGTTTCACTGAGTCCATTAGCTCTTCTTTTTTCCTTTTTAGTTTCAGCAGCATTTTACGTGTCTGCTTTTGTACAGCACTTTGGGTTTTTTTAACAAAATTATATTATTGTAGAATAACGAAAGCTTATGAGGTTTAAATGCACTCACATGCTTAAAATAAATGCACTTCAAGCAGGTGGTATGTATAATATAAAAACAGCATCTCAAGAATTACAGTAAAGTGGAACATAATAGTAACCCTTTCTTTCAGAATAGCAGAGCAACTGATTTGGATACACTGACCCAACTGACAAATTAATTTTGTGCATCAGGGCATTATGCTGTACATCTAATTTCTTGGTCACCTGAAAGATCAGCTTTTGGTCAATATAGTGAAAATAGTAGGTCAAAGGCCTTTACATCTGTGCACCAAAGTCTTTCTAAATCATGTGCCCTCATGAATTTAATGGGTGTGGAAGTGCCAAGCTTGGGGAAAAATTTGATTGCCTTAAGAAATGTGGGCCTTCTGGTGAATGCTTTCACTTGAAATGCAGGATGGGTTCCACAGGTGCTGCTGCTATAATATTGTGAAAACTCCTTGAAGTTTACAATTCGCCAATGGTTGCCGTGGTTAACAGTTCTCTATCCTGAACATAGTTATTTAAGGATGGTAGGCTTTCTACTAAAGAAGACACAGTTTAGAATGCTAAATTAATAGAACTGCTACAGACGTACTGGATTATACAAAGTTTTGTTTAACTCATAAATCACCATAAATCTTAGACTAAACAGCAACAGATTAGCTTCACTTAAAGGTCACTATACCAAATGTGTCTCAAATGTTTGTATCTGACTGCTGAGGTATAAAATGGAGAAAAAAAAGATACCTAACAACAGGTACAGCCTTCAAAGTTACACACAGTGCATTATGAGTTTCCACTATAGTATTACTGATGTTAAATCTGTTCTTGAAGAAAAATATCCATAGTTTCTAAAGACCATTCTGAAAATACTGTGATAATCTCTGTCATGCTCCAGCTCTCTGGAAAGTGGATGGTAGTGATGCAGCACATTGATTTATCAAATAAAACAACCGGTGTTTGGTGTCTTCCCTTTCCTTTTTCAGCCAACAAAATGATTTATATCCAATCCAAAGATTTATAAACAAAGACTTCTAAAGATTTTTTGAGCATCAGGGAATCAGCAAAATTTGAATACAATCTGTACTACTCCTCCAACTATAGATGATAATGCAGTGAACTGGAGCTTCAATTTTCTGAATCATGGATTACTGTCATGATATTCAAAGAAGCCAGTAGAGGGGAAAGCTATACATAACCAAGAACAAAAAACATTTTTTATTTGTCCTCCGATATAACTTTGTAAACAAGCTCTAAGAACTGAACCCATCAATATTAATATGGTGAAGAATGAAATGGTTTTATTATCTAAATTTAACATTGAAAAGGTTATCCAGTGTCTGGTAGATGATTAACATACCACTGACAATGAAGCAGTATACAGATTCTTACACTTCCAGTGAGTACAAGGAAATTGGAACACTTGTAAAAGTGCCCTGAAAACAAGAGACACAAAAATCTATGCATATAAATACATATCATATAATACAAATACAATATAAGCATGGATAGAAGCATTTTTGTTACACAAGAATCAGAAAAGAACCAGATAAGAGCTAAGAAAAATAATTGACTGGCTGATTAATGCCTCAAATTGTATAATTTATTATATAAATAATATAATTAAAACATTTATTTAATTGATGAATTTATTGTCAAATTCAGTAGATCATTCTTCAAATGTAAAACAATACATTATCTCTCTTTATAAATTACTTGGATAAATGAATTTTACAGTGGTAATTATTCCCCAAACTCTTGTACAAATCCTTCAAATAAGCCAGCAGGATACATATTGAAATCAAACAGGACATTACGGAAAAAGGCCCTTATGGTTTGCTGCAAGTAACCTACAGGAGTCCTTAAGGAATATTTTATTTCCTTGTTTAATGATCCCTGAAAGAACTTTCCTGTGGAATTCCTAAAGGAGTGTTGCAAAAGGAATATCTGCAGAGTTTATTTGCAGGATTTGTGTTTTTGTTATGCAAGATAGGATATGCTTAATGAAATGTGAAAAAGCATATTGAAGCTGTATATTGAAACATATGTGGAGAACTGAGAACATTGATGGCCATCCTCTGGTCATAGCAATTGGATGAAAATAATGAATTGGGTGGAAACCCATGAAGTTTAGATTATAGCCTATAGATGATATAGATTATAGATGGAAAGGATTTTCTTTTTTCTATAACATTTAGTTGCATACAATTCAGAAGGCTCCAGGGTTGTTTAACAACTTAGGTGTTTGTTAAGAGCAAGATTTAGCCCTATAGTTTAAATGTCTCTGGTTTGAGAGGGCTCAATCATGAACTGATTGTGATTGGGAATGAACTAGTGGTGCATTATGTTATCATCATTAACAAGTCATTCAAATAGGGAGTTGCATCAGCATAACAAGGCTGGAAAGCAACAGGTGCCACCTGATGAAGGCTCTATAGCCATAAATGTAGTGTCTCTTTTTACAGGTGATGTGTTGAGCCAGCATCTCCTCATCTGAAAGAGATGTCTGGGAGTTGTTTGACATCTGCAACCCTGCAGTTATATCAGCAGCCATGTCACCTTGCATCTCACAGCTGGCAAACCACTGAAAGTAAGGAGGTGTGAGCCTGGTCATTACCCGAATAGACGATCTCCTGGGAAAAACTAAGGTTGCTGGCACACTATAGCTGCTGTTGCATCATCCAGGTGGGTGCAGCACATTGGTGGTGGTGGTGGTGGGGAGTCCCCATAACCTGTCAAGCTCTTTGAGTAGAATGTCCAGAAAGTACAATGTAAATATAAGGAACTTTTTTTCAGACAAAATCCTTTTAGAATGATATTATAACAACAACATCTGTAAAGGAATAGGAGATGATTAGAAAACCTGGTCTTGGAACAGATCGCTGTGAAGAGATGGAATGTCAGTTGGGTGAGACAAGGGGGCAAGTATCTTAGGGAGGAGGAGAAGGAATGACGAAGAGATCTAGAAAAAGATTTAGCGGAAGGCATAGTAGGTTGCAGCTGAAGTGAGTTGAAAAAGTTCAATGAAAAGGTATACAGATCCAGTATCTGGAGTAGGTAGATGACAAGGCATGCAAACAATCCAATACGTAAGGCGAGTTCGTGGTCCAAAGGAAAAAGTTGATTCAGGATCCAGGAAGCACGACTGGAGCAAACAATCTTAAGCAAGAGGCAAGGTCATGGTCAAAAGGAGTAAGGTAGGTCAAAATCCTGGAAGTACACTGGTGGCAAACAATCCAAGATGGGAGGCCTACAGATCCAGCCATTCAGAATGTACGAGGGATGCTGCAGTAGTTCGCAGTCCACTCTAAACATTTTAGAATGTTTAGAATGCATAGCCAGCAGCCATATCAGCATGCAACTCACAACAGGCAACCCACTGAAGCTAAGCAGGTGTGAGCCTGGTCAGTACCTGGATTGGAGACCTCCTGGGAAAAACTAAGGTTGCTACTGGAAGAGGTGTTAGTGGGGCCAGCAGGGGACACTCACCCTGCGGTCCATGTGGGTCCTAATGCCCCAGTATGGTGACGGGGACACTATACTGTAAACATGTGCCGTCCTTCGTATGAGACGTAAAACTGAGGTCTTGCCTCTCTGTGGTCATTACAAATCCCAGGGCGTTTCTCAAAAAGAGTAGGGGTGTAACCCCGGTGTCCTGGCCAAATTTACCATTGGCCCGTACCAATCATGGCATCCTAATAATCCCGATCTATGAATTGGCTTTATAACTCTGCTCTCCTCCCCACTAATAGCTGATGTGTGCTGAGCGTTCTGCCACACTATGGCTGCCGTGGCATAATCCAGGTGGATGCTGCACATTGGTCGTGGTGGAGGGAAGTCCCCATTACCTGTAAAGCACTTTGAGTGGAGTGTCCAGAAAAGCGTTATATAAGTGTAAGCAATTATTATTCTCACAGTTATGTGAGTGTGCTACTTTGTAAAACAGCCAGGTCGAGCTGTGAAAGCTGATCGTGACATGTGGAGCATTTGGGCTGTCACCAGAAAATGCCCGGTTTCAAATCCCGGTCAATGCTGAGGAACAATCTTTTTCCAATTATACAATTTAAATTGTATACTGTTTAGACTTTCATTAATTTTAAACTGGTATTATACTGGAGCTTGTCAACTTAACATCCACATGAAGAAAACCCAGAGGTTAAATAACAGTACTGTAATGTAATACATACCTAATGTACACAGTATATGGTAGTGATAGCTAAATATGAAAACATACACAACAGTATTCCACCCTCTTCATAAATATTTTGTGCATCAAAGTTTA